GTTTCAAACTGGTAAGTCCATGGTTGGGAGGCGGCTCCCGAGGGGTCTGCGCAAGCACAAGCAGAGGCCGTTGATCCCTATGAATGCAGATTCAGCCCAGGACGAAGCCAGACTGGGCCAGACTCCACGGGAGTGCACGGAATTGCAGGGGAGCATGCCGGACGAGGCATGTTTTCAGCCACGGATCTACTAGCGCAGATGCTGAATCCAATCTTCCAGGACTTGCATCCTAACCATGGGGTCCCTCCCCCATTGCCCTGTGATCGCAGGAGATCGGCAACTGACTTGCACAGGATGTCGTCCCTGCTGCGTGGAAGTTGCTCTAAGTGGAAGCTTGATGCTACTTCAAGCTTCCAGCAAATGAAATGCACAGCGGCCCGACATGACTCGCTTGAAGTGGGGATTGGTAGGTCGCCCGCCGTTGCAAGACTGAGTCGGGTGCGAAGAATACTGATGGTGTAAATGGTGATGGTGATAAGTGTGTTGGACATGACTACTGGTGGCTCAAGAATCACCATCAACATCTAACGACCGCCGCGTTTTCGAGCTTCGAGTATGTGTAAGCACTTCCTTCATTGAAGCCTGCGGTGCAACTTCCGCAGCGTCCTGTCAACTTGACCTTGTCTGTTGCTTGGAATTCGCCACCGATGTTCACATCGGCACCGCCCCAGCCGCAGCAGTTGTCCGACACACGTGCAATGTACATGCCAGTGTTCTTGTTCTTGTCGAAGTACACATTCGTACAGCCGTCACCGCGGTCATCACAGATGTAGCCGAATGTACGCGTGTGCCAGAAGTTTTTCGGCACGTCTTCTACTTTCATGCATGAACTGAAATCTCTCGAGAGTCTCTTGTTGAGCAAACTCCGCACGCCACTGGCGTCGCTGCCATTGCTATCAGAGCCAAGGGTCACGTTGTCCTTGCTGAGCAAGCTGTGCGAACCGAGCTTGTCGCTGCCGCCTGTGCGGGAAGAACCACCTGCGCCGGCAAGATTTATCTCGTGGCGTGTTCCGAGCGCATATGCCGCAAGAGTGAGCAACAAGAGGACCCGCGCCATGCTGTCTCACAAAACGGAAAGGATTCACAAACAACGTACTGACACGCTGGATTTGGTCGCACTATAGTCGGCTTGCGCCAGACAACCTTACGCGGTTGAGCCAAAATGCATGCAGACTGGTTCAGTGGTGCCTGGGGTGCCGAGTAAGGGGGAGGGAAAGTACACGCACCGTGACCCTCGAAGACCGCGTTGACACTGCCTTGCGGTCACATCTCCATTTCTAAATAGAAGGCGGCATAGACATAAACTTTCGACGGTCCGCATCCGCGAGGACCGTCGAAAGTCTGCGTTTATGCCGTTTTTTCTTCTTCGAATCTTACCGTGCCACCAGCACGACCACCACCACGACAGCGGCCCTCAGAAAACCGCTGCCGCCCACGCGGCTGCCCCGACACCACGACGGCCAGGCCGCAGGAGACTCCACCTCTGGGAGGCGACTAGATTCAGGAGGGCCAGGAACATCGGGGAGAGGGGGTCTTCCTGCAGATGCATCGAACCAAACCGCCCATGTCTGTCAGCCCTGGTGCGGAAAGAGGACCTCAGTGAGGCCACGTCTCCATCGTGCTCTTGGGGCTGGGGGCTCTCTTGTCCGCGATGAGCACCGCGCCAGCCGCATGACCACCACCACGACAGCGGCCCTCAAAACCGCTGCCGCCCCTGCGGCTGCCCCGCCACCACGACGCCCAGTAGGAGGAGGAGGAGGAGGAGGAGGAGGAGGAGGAGGAGGAGGAGGAGGAGGAGGAGGAGGAGGAGGAGGAGGAGGGGGAGGAGGAGGAGGAGGAGGGGGGAGGAGGAGAGAGGAGGAGGAGGGAGGAGGAAGGGAGGAGAGGAGGAGGAGGAGGAAGGAGGAGGAGGAGGAGGAGGAGCCCTCACCTCCAGAGAGAGGCCTCCGGGCGCCACTTGCGTGCCGCGCCCCCCTCGGGCCAGCGCGCGCCTCGCAGGAGAGCGGGCGGCGACCCTGCCCCTCCCCCAGAGGCCACAGGCCCGCTCGACACGAGCCCCCAAGACCTCAGACCACTCGACACGAGCCCATCGAGGATCGGGCCAGTCGGGCTTTGCAGGATCCTGCAGGATCCTGCACCTCTAACCCGGGTCAGCGCACCCCATGGCTCTGCTAGGGGGGCCACATGCGAAGCCTACCCCTACCCCCCACGAGTTCTGAGCTGGAGGGTGGGTTTCACTTCGTTCGGGAACTCTCGAGCGAAGTGAAACCCACCCTCCCCGTCAGAAATCGTGGGGGGTAGGGGTAGGACTCGCATTTGGCCCCCTATCTGCAGGATCCTGTCAGATCCAGCGCTCTGGCTGACCCCCGTTTGCATTGACCCCGTCTCTTGAGCCCCGAGACCGCCTCCGAACCGCGTCTCCGGCAAAGCCCCGGCCGCGGAGAGGCCGCAGAAGAGCCCCCCCCGAAGAGCGAGAGAGAGAGAGAGAGAGAGACCGCGCCGGCACGAGGGAGAGAGAGAGAGATAGAGAAAAACAAAAACCAAAAAAGTCCTGCGGGAGGGGCGGGCCCTGGACCGGCCCCGGGGCTTCCCCAGGGAGGAGGAAGAGGAGGAGGAGGAGGAGGAGGAGGAGGAGGAGCAGGAGAAGTGGGATAAGAAGAGGGGATGAGGAGGGAGGATGAGTGGTAAGGAGAGGATGAGGAGGTATGGAGGGAGGAGTGAGAGTGGAGGCTGTAGGAGAAGGGTTATTAGGATGATTAGGAGAGTGAGGGAGTATGGGTGGCGGTGTCTTCGGAAGCATGTCTGCGGCTGAGTATGATTCTTCTATTCTACTTCGGCCTGCTTCTTCTCTTAGTAGTATTCTGTCACCCCACCCTTCTTTTCTTCTTTCTGCTTCTTCTTTTCTTTCTCGTCTCTATTAGTACTTCGTAGGTGTCTTAGTTCTTCTTCTTCTTCTTCTTCTTCTTCTTCTTCCTTCTTCCCCTTTTTTTCTTATTTATTCCTTTTAGTAACTTTTTCTTATTCTTCTTCATTCTTTTTATTTTTCTTTTTTTTTTTTCTTTCCCTCTTCTTTTCCTTCTTCCCCTCCCCCCCCCCCCTGGCCGAATGCCCCATTCAGAGTACGGCAGGAAGAGGAAGGAAGGGCCACCTTCTCGTCCCGAGCCGCTTCTGGACGATCCTTGGGCCCCTGGGGCTTCCCCAGGGTGATTAACCAAAAAAGGACCCCTGACCCTTTGGGGGGGACCCAAGTTAGGAGGGCCAAAAACATCGGGGACGGGTTTTTTTCTGCAGATGTGTGGGACCAGACCGCCCAGATTTATGACCCTTCATGCGAAGACGGGGACCTCAGTGAGGCCGGCCGCTTCTGGACGATCCTTGGGCCCCGGAGCTTCCACAGGGTGATTAACCAAAAAAGGACCCCTGACCCTTTGGGAGGCGGACCCAAGTTAGGAGGGCCAAAAACATCGGGGACGGGGGGTCTTTTCCTGCAGGTGTGTGGGACCAGACCGTCCAGAATTGTGACCCCTCATGCGAAGACGGGGACCTCGGTGAGGCCGCGTCTTCCTCGTGTTCTTAGGGTCAGGGGCTCTCTTGTGCTCGATAACAGGGGGGCCACCTTCTCGCCCCGAGCCGCTGCTGGACTGTCCTGGGGCCGCGGGCGGGGCCCGGGGCGAGGCCGAGAACGGCGAGAAGCGCTCAGCTCTCTCTCGCCCGCAGCCCGTGGAGAAGGTCGATCCACGAGCCCCTCCCATGGTCCACGCCGGCCAGCGCTTTTTCAGCGCCGCGTCAGACCACGGCGCCGAGCGCTTGTAGAGATCCCCGAAAATCCAAGGACGACGACGGCGACGACGAAAACGACGACGACGACGACGACGACGACGACGACGACGACGACGACGACGACGACGACGACGACGAAATCACTGGCGGCCACCCAAGGGAGGCCTGAGCAACGTGGGGTCGGAGGATTGCGCCGCGTCGCCGATGCACTGGCGATGTATCGGCGACGCCGGGATGAGCAATCTCGGGCTCCAAATCTCGCCGCATCGGCGATGCCTCGGCGATGCGGTGCAGTCCCCCGGCCCCATCTGCCGCAGGTTCGTGCCGTGACGACCTGCGCGTGGGTTTCTGGTGCCGCATGGATCGTTAAGCCTTGACAGAACGCTGGTTTCGAATAGCGCAGATCGATGGCTATAAGCCGATTCCGCACACACTGGCGGCGTTCAGCCTTGAACGCTAACGCGCTGGGGCCGGCGCCGACGAATCGACACGACGAGAGCCAACCGTAACACGGCTGCGCTCGGTTACGTGCTTCATGTCTGGTGTTTCGGGTCCAGCTGAGTTCCACGAAAAGACTCCATTGATCGTCCTCCACAACCAAAAGTTCATGCTTATGCCGTGTCTTCACCTTCGAATAGAGTAGAGGGCAGAAAACCCACCTCGATAACAACCACCCCGACACGCGAAGCCGTTTAGCAAACGCACCCCAAGGAAGGAATCAAACAGCGCAGGGCTGTCTAGGAAACGCCCAAGGTCGTTTAGTAAACGCCAATTGTCCGGTCCGGGTGGTTTCTCCTCCCTTGGTAGAGTTCGCTGGCAACTCATGGGAGCCTCCCATACCATCTTGCCAGCTCTTGGGAATCGACGCTGATCGACGCCAAATCGACGCTAATCGACGCCAATCGACGCTGGTCGATACTGGCCGACGCCAAATCGGGCTATCCCATCGACTCCCAGACGCTGATCGACGCTAGTCGACGTTAAAGACGGAATTTAGAGGGCACACCAGGCTCCTATGGTCTGCTACCGACGTAGAGCCATCCGTCGGACGGGGTCGCGGCCGCTTCGACGCGGCGCGAACCCGCCGCGCCCCCTCCCCGTGTGGGCGACCTGGACTCGTGGCGGCCGGTGCAGGCTCTCCTGCGAGGCGTGACCAGCACCTTCCGTGACGTCATCGTCGCCTTCCGAGCTTCCCTCCAGCCGCACGCACACGTCTCGTGGTCGGGCGAGGGGGGCGTCACGGAAGGGGATAGCGTGCCAGGGGTCGGCCAGCCGCCCCTGATGTCTGGCGTGTCGAAGTTTTCCGTATGCGCCTCCGATCGGCGGTTCCAGCCCTCTGTTGGCGGCGCGCACAAGGGGGTGGGGGGAGGGGGGAGGGCTTCTTAGAAGCAGGCTGCTTCTTA